GGTGTATGAAATGTATTCTAGAACAAGAAAACTGTAGCATGGGACTTGATTTTGTCCATCGGGAATTGATTGGATTGTTTGATCAATGTCATTTGCTATTGCTGCGGTCTCACATGAATGACAGTTTATCCTGCCATCGGGCCAGTAAAAATGTCATCAGAGACGAGAGGTCATTGCAAGAGGAAGGGGAAGTTTTTTGATTAAGGAGTATGATTAAGATTTTAGGGGTCATTCATGTGTGGAAAACGGTGGCATTGTGAAAAGTTGGGATATTTTTATATCTTACCATATTTTCATGCAACATAATCAATGACTTGCATCCGAGTCAACAAGATGGAGGGAAGTTAGATGGGGAAGGGCATTAAAAAAAAGTAGTAGAACAGAGCTATGATGGTTTCTGCTGACTTTTGTCACATTGCTTGCATCTGGTGTAGACAGGGATTCAGTTTCTTTAGCAATAACTTAGTGACATCTGCTGGATGGGAGTTGCACTACAAATAATATTTAAGTTGAGTTCTATTTATTATTATTTCTTATCTTAGTTACCATTTTCCAAACTTACCTTTATAATTGCACAAAGAGCTTTGTAAAAGCAATAAATGTTTGTTGCTGCTCTACATTATACTTTATCTACAGATGACTGGATCTCCCCGGGTTGGCAAGGAAGTCATAGTCAGTGTGGATTTCCAGAATCCCTTTAATTTCATCCTGCAAAAGGTTCAGCTCAGGTTCAGAATTTGAAGTCGTGCAAGACTAGAGTGAGACTGGGAACAAGATAGAGAAAAGACAGGGAAAGAGGAACCGAAGAGAAAACACAATTGCAGAATTCCCTGTACCATTGCTTTGGTTTGCTTCACTAAGCAAATACGTTTTTACCAAGAATTAAATAATTAAATGTTACATCTCAAATTTGTTCCAAATCCTTATGACTTTCTTTGTTCTGTGGAACACAACAGACATTTTGAAAAACAGCACAGAAATTTATACAGGTTTGGACAACATGAGGGTGAGTAAATGATGACAGAATTTTCATTTTTGGCAGAACTATCTCTTTAAATCAGCAAGTGTGAGAACTATAATAAATAATGACATCCATTGAAATCCCTAGTGATCTGCAACATAGCTAACTTGTGTTTTGTTTGGGTAAATGTTTTCTCTGGTTGGAAGGAATCTTAACTAACTTACTGTATTAATCACAATGTATTGTTGTTTTACTGTGCTGTAATGCCATTGACTATGTTGTACTAATGCAAATTAACAATAAATGCTTAGCCTGAAAGCTTTTTGACGGACTGAATTATTTATTTACATTTTCATTTGGACACCAACACTCATATTTGCGTACAAGATATATACAATTATTTATAAGAACTGTCATCATTTAGCCTAGTACTCACCTAATGTCATTCCAAACCTGCTTGATTTTATTTTCTTCTGTGAAACAGGAACAAAAAAAAGGTCTGTTTTTTTAAATGTGCATTGAATGTGTTGTACTGTTGCTTAACAACGCACCAATTGTTTAGCTGATAAAACGGTCTTTGCTATCTTTGATATCCCACAAGGATAGTAATTGGTCGTCTTTTATTGGTGGCTTGTTAAAACCTCTAAATCCTAATGCAATGTGTTCCAAAACACACTACAGGAAACCATTATTTCCAAATGGTTTTAATGTTTAATAGTTGATGGTGTGTAATTTTGTAATTTGTAATGGAAACCATTAGAATTTCTGTGATGGTTTCTATTTTTCTTTTCTAGCAGGGTTTGGTGGTCAGTGTGTAAATGTATGTTCACATTACTTTTGTATGAAGACATCTACATTGGCAAAAGTCAATTATGTGAAATTTAAAACATAAATATTGCGAAATAAATGCTTATTTGACCATATGCAAGGAGCACTATTTAGAACTTCCGGATAGAGATAAGCCAGCTCGTAATCTTCCGGTGAAGCTCATTTTATATGTGCTATAGGTAGAAACTCTCACAGAAACCTCTCCTGCCTCATTCTTATCAGTAACTGAGAAGCAAAATAATTGCAACACCGTAAAACGTATCACATAATCCTCAACAGTGGTAACTCTGCTTCAGTGTTACTTTAACACTCTGTAGATTGGGACAATATGTACTCTGAAGCTACGAGAATACTTTTTGAGCGCAAAGAAAACAAAAATAACGATTACACTATTTCGATAGTCCACTTTAGACATTCTATTAACTATAAGTAACTTTGTAACTACATGTCAACTACATGTCAACTAATTCTCATTAATTTGCAACTACATGTCTACTAACTCTCAGAGTAGACTTAGGGTAGGTTTAGGGTTAGTAGAATGTTGGTAAAGAAAGTGTTAGAAGATATTAAGCAGACAGTCTACTAATACTCTACTAACTGCTAGTTGACATGTAGTTGAAAAGTTACTTACTGTTAGTAGAATGTCTAAAGTGGACTATCGAAATAAAGTTACCAAAATAACAATTTATTTAACAATTCTTCTCCCTCGAGTTACGTCTTCCGCCATTTTAGAGAGTATCACAACCCATACGCACGCTTTCCCCTAAGCGTAAACAACGCTGATTACTTTGATTACGCTCTTGGGTACTCTCTAAAATGGCGGAAGACGTAACTCGGGGGAGAAGAATTGTTAAATAAATTGTTATTTTTGTTTTCTTTGCGCTCAAAAAGTATTCTCGTAGGTTCGCAAAACTGAAGTTGAGCCACTGATGTCACATGGACTGTTTTACCGATGTCCTTACTACGTTTCTGGACCTGGGAACATTACAGTTGCGTTGCTGTCTATGCAGGGTCTGAGAGCTCTCACATTTCATCACAAATATCTTAATTTGTGTTCCGAAGATGAACGAAGGTCTTACAGGTTTGGAACGACATGAGGGTGAGTAATTAATGACAACATTTTCATTTTGGGGTGAACTAACCCTTTAAGTCTGTCACTCATATCCTTGTTCGTCTGCGTTGAATTCATATGGCGTCTAACCTGATTGAGATGTATTAAATGGTATACATTTTAAACTACAAATTAAACTACGAGAGAGAACATGTGTTTTCCCTCAAATTACAATATAACGTGTGGATTTAAAGGTGACATATCAAGAAAATCTGACTTTTCCAGGTTTTAAGTGCTATAATCAGGTGCCCGGTGCATCTACCAACCAAGGAAACGTGAACAAGATTACCCCAGTAACTTTGTTTTGGGAAGCCTTTTTCTGCAAGCGTCTGAGAAAACCAGCGTCTGATTTCGCTCTCTTGGTGACGTGGCAAAGAGATCTCATTATAATATCACCGCCCCTTAATCTGTAAGTTTCCACCCACAGCGCCATCATTTTGATTTTGCAAGCGACAACGGTGTACCAGCTCTAATGCCATGGCAAAAGTTTGAGCGAAGCGTGCTAACTGTTCTGTGTTTGGCTGCACACAAGCACAGAACACTGTTTAGAGTCCCAGCCTCAGAGACAACAGAGCAGTGCATTTATTGATTTATTTACTGTATATTGCTGCTGCCACACAGATCTAAAATAAACATGTGATTTATTTCCCAGCTGTTTACCTTCACAAACATAACTGACTGTTTTTGTAACTCATGTGTTTTTAACAAAACTTGTGTGTGAGTGAGAACTTAGATTAGGGTATGTTCAGATGCCAGTTAATATCTAGCTCTTTAGCTAGCAACTGGGTAACCTTGGAGGTAAACGGTGTACCATTATCGCTTTCTATAACCGTTGGTATACCAAAACGAGGTATAATCTCCTTAGCAAGTACCTTCACTACAGTCTGTGCATTTTCTCTTCCACACGGGATAAAAAGGGGCATAATATGTCTCCTTTCATGTTTGAATTTATGATACTGACGTTATAGAGAAGAACGATCCTCACATTCTACCCGTACAAATCTTCAGTGACAGGGCATTGCCTAAAAGTAGACAAATGTTTATAACAGAACGAGTAATATTCCATGAATTCCCGGGTTTTTTGCACCATCTTGTGGTTTATTATTATTATTATTATTTTTTTTTATTCTAGTGCAGCAAATGGTACGTGGTTGTGTTTGCTGTCGGTTTAAGCATGCATACAGACCTTTGAACAATGTTATTTCTTTATCAACACAGCTTCGTTTAAGGGTGCTTTGGAAACGGATCCTTTCTGACTTTAAATTGAAATAGAAAGACATAGAACAAGGCAACATAACACTCCCAGTAGCCAATATGCAACTGTAATAATGAGTTAGGCTAACCCTAACCCTAACCCTAACCTAACCTAACCTAACCTAGCCTAACCTAACCTAACCTAACCTAACCTAACCTAATCCTAACATAACCTAACCTAACCTAACCCTAACCCTAACCCTAACCTAACCTAACCTAACCTAACCTAACCTAACCTAACCCTAACCCTATATATTATTGTGTTCTTTTTTAAGGATAGCATCTCACACATCCTGACTTCTGAAAACTAGTTTAAAGTCTCAGATGTAGCAACAATTCACACAGTAATTTATTTCAATCCATCCATTTTACCTAGTTGAACTTGAATGAGAACACAGTCTCATTTATATGCTCTAATAATTTTTAATAGGTTATTCATAACAAAAACAACAACAACAACAATAGTAGGCCTAATACAATAATAATAATAAAACATTAGCTCAGCATTAGCTAAATGTAAATGTAGTTATTTTATGATTATTTTGTTTGTCTGTAAATGTGAACAGTATTAGTAAGCCTTTACTCCTCTTCTACAGAGCACAAATGGCCAGCAGGTATTTTTAAACACATCCGATTTCATAATGGTATTATACGGACCCATGTCATAATCATGGAGCACTGCATGGTCCATTCCAGCAGCAGACTTTTGTAATTCATCATACTTTCACAACCTAGAAAACAACCAATATAGCATTGTGTTAGAAAAGACCTGAATTTATTCACTTGTGGGCATTAGTACAAACTCCTCTTGCGGGTCACACGTCTGCTCAGAGCATTAGTGTTTTCAGTTACAGCTCAGTGGATGTGTTCTGAACGTCTCCAGCAGTTCTGTGAAGTATGGAGTACACGAAAACCTTGGTTCCCACATCTCTAATGAGGTAAGAGACTATTAATATTTTAGGTTTCAGTGTTAGAGATCAACGGGATTTTTGGGGAGTCTCTTGGTTATTTGTGTAAATACAAGCTTGAAATTCTTTATAGAATTGTTGTATTATTTTAAATTGTATTTAATCTCTTAATAGTAGCACTAATTAATAGTAACACAATAGTAACATTCATTAATGCAAGTCATGACAGCCTATGTTTTCCATTATTTTTAGCTCAAACCATTTTAAATAATTTCAACATGATTTTTTAAGTTACACAAGGTTCAACTTGATTTTTTATTAAAGTCAGTTTTGATATTATTTAAGTTGAAATGACTTATAAGGAAATGTTTTACAGTAACATGAACTAACAATAAACAATACAGCATACATTAATCTTGGTAAACGTTCATGTCTACATCTGCTAATACATTTTTTAACATTTCAAATGGTATACATCAACAATGTATTAAGAGCAAACATTAATTAACAATGAACATTAATATATTTCTAAATTAGCATTAAGCTATATTGTTCATTGTTAGTTTTTGATATGCAACAAATTGACCCTTATTTTAAATTATTATTTATACCTTTTTAATTTAAAATTCATCATGTACAAATCAAATAATTAAACCCCTGTAAGTGAAATACAATAAAACTACTGTGAAAGTGATCTGTACTCTGCTAGGAAAGTGTTTTATCGAGCATTGCATTATTGCAGCAGTAGCAGACGCAGTAAACAGTTATTTTCCTGTTTATATAACCATAACTCACTCTTAACAAACAAGCTGTTATTTCTGGAATTCAGACAAGCTGTAGCTTTAGATTTACCCCTGAATGGTGCATACTACATTAAAGGTGCATATTAGTAGTTTAAAGAACTTGTCAAGGAAATCGCCCCAGTGACAGTAATAGACTATCCTGAGATTGCAGGTCTAGTTTTGATGTTAACCACTCAGACAACAATTATTTCTCTGTGCCATATTAAAGGGTGAGCTCTGATGGTGTGTTGATGTGGTGCTGTATGTCTGTGTCGTCGGTGCAGACGTCTCTTGCACAGCGAATGCTGCCCCCTCCTCAGCCCCGTCCATACAAGGTCTGCACGCAGAACCGCCGCAGGAGGAAAGGCTTCACCGCCAGCTCTCTTGCAGACCTCATGGAGCAGGTCAGGTCTCTGGATGTCGTGCATGATGCTGCATACTGTAGCAGGTGTTATTTACAAGTTACACTCATGTTTAGTTAGTTAGTTAGTTATACACTAATATTGAAAGAATACAATAAAAACAGCATTACTGAGAAGTGCATTACTGTGATGTATTATTACCATTTATATAACTGTTTTCTATTTTAATATATTTTAAAATTTAATTTATTTCTGTCATGGCAAAGCTGAATTTTCAGCATTTATTTCCAACTAAATGTTTACAAAATTGAAAGCAACCTTGCTGAATTTATTAATTTCTAACAAACAAATACATACACATTTTATTGACCCCACGGAATGGTAGTGCATTTAAATGTATTATTATTATTTGAGTTTCAAAAAATAAAAAAGCTATAAAGGCTTTGAAACAATTTTCACTAAGAAATTGCTAGTAAATTTCATGAATAACTACAAAAATGGCAAGTAACACAGTAGAAAGTAGAAAGACTGAAATTTCTCGTAAAATGTACTCTAAAAATCGTTGTTTTATTTACAACTCATTCATTTTGTTTATGCTGGCCGATCTGATTTTCATTTATTTTGCAGACATCTAAAACATGCAGTATCAAATGATTTTAAAAATATGGAAGAGTCTTAGTAATGCGCAATAGCAAAATATTAAAAGTCATGGAAATATGTAATGTGAATATATGTATTCCTAAAATATTTAGCTGCTCTCTGTGCAGTTGTGCATGCAAGCTCACATGATAACATCAGTTTATTAATTTAGCTTGATCTTACTGGAGATTTCTAAATGAATTAATATACTAAATATAATCGTTTGTACCAATTGCACGGCTTGGTACATGACATACAAAGTTAAAACACACAGTCATATGTGGAGTCCTAATATCTCTCTCTACAGGTGGCCAGTTCTTTCTTGATAACGTGTCAGTTCCTCACACTTGTGCTGGAGGATGATGGGACGGTGGTGGACTCTGAGGCTTTTTTTCAATCTCTGCCTACAAATACAGCATTCATGGTCCTGGAGAAAGGGGAAGCGTGGACCCCCAATAAACTGGTACAGCAGTTATATGCATTTTTAATTTGTAATCTAACAAAATTTAAAAAAGATTTTTAACTAAGTTATCTTCATTATCTGCATTATATTCAACAAGACAAAATATTATTTTGAAATAAACAGTATAAATAAATAAACAAATAACTTGCAGAAAAAAAAGTTTCAATATTTTATCTACCTGCGCATCATGTGGCTATTAACTGACATATGGGAGAACTGTGAACATGCAAATGTGTTGCTAAATTACTGAAATATTAATTAGGGATAGTTCACCCAAAGTAAAAATTACACCATGATTTACTCACCATCAAGCTATCCTAGGTGTATTTGAGGGGTTGAGATAGAAGAAAGTCTTATATCGTTTGTACCAATTGCACGGCTTGGTACATGACATACAAAGTTAAAACACACAGTCATATGTGGAGTCCTAATATCTCTCTCTACAGGTGGCCAGTTCTTTCTTGATAACGTGTCAGTTCCTCACACTTGTGCTGGAGGATGATGGGACGGTGGTGGACTCTGAGGCTTTTTTTCAATCTCTGCCTACAAATACAGCATTCATGGTCCTGGAGAAAGGGGAAGCGTGGACCCCCAATAAACTGGTACAGCAGTTATATGCATTTTTAATTTGTAATTTAACAAAATTAAGTTATCTTCATTATCTGCATTATATTCAACAAGACAAAATATTATTTTGAAATAAACAGTATAAATAAATAAACAAATAACTTGCAGAAAAAAAAGTTTCAATATTTTATCTACCTGCGCATCATGTGGCTATTAACTGACATATGGGAGAACTGTGAACATGCAAATGTGTTGCTAAATTACTGAAATATTAATTAGGGATAGTTCACCCAAAGTAAAAATTACACCATGATTTACTCACCATCAAGCTATCCTAGGTGTATTTGAGGGGTTGAGATAGAAGAAAGTCTTATACAGCTATGGTTTGATGGTGAGTAAATCATGGGTTTTACAGAGCATTTCTGCAAACCACAGTTGACAGTAAATATAAAATGATTTTTTTTTACAGAATGCTGTTTATCTACAGTGTAATACACTCTTAAAAATAAAGGTGCTTCAAAAGGTTCTTCAAGCGATGCCATAGAAGAACCATTTTTGTTTCCCCAAAGAACCATTCAGTTTAAAGAACCATCTCTTTCTTACCTTTTTGTAATCTGAAGAACCTTCTTTTGCCACAAAGAAGCTTTTGTGAAACAGAAAGGTTCTTCAGATGTTAAAGGTTCTTTATGGAGCCATTTAGACAAAAAGGTTCTTCTATGGCATCGTGAAGCACCTTTATTTTTAAGAGTGTACTGCATAAGATATTTACACATTACTGCTGTCATATTTATGACCTGGTAGTTACGGTTTAAAAGACTGTATTTTTATGTTTTATAAGCTGCGCCCATTAAGCAACCAGTGAAAAGGGATTTGAATGTGGGTCTAATCAGGTTTGTTTTCCCCAGAGATGATTAACTGTATCCCATGTGTTGCTTCATTTGCAGCTGTTCATTTATCAGTTTTGTTGATTTGAAACTTTCACCAGCATTTGTTATTTAAAGCTTATTCATTTAATCATTGCAAGAGTTATATTTGCTGAAACGATCTTTGTGTTTTTGCTCCACTAGGGTGCAGGCTTGCATTTACCCCAAACGCTCATGACATAATCGCTCGTTTCAATCTGTGCTAATCGTTGCCCTCAATCCATATTTCACAGGTTCTGCCAAATTTCAGACAGCCAAGAAGAAGTGGAATTGCTAAATTGAGCTTTGACCTGTACAAACTGAACCCAAAGGATTTTCTGGGATGCCTCACCGTTAAAGCCACACTCTATGAAATATACACACTCTCATATGACATCAAGTGCACCAGAGCCAAGTACTTTCTGAAGTAAGAGATTCAAAACACACACACACACTACTCTGAGTGTTGGAAAGGTAAAATATAAGTATGAATGTCTAGACTTTCTTTTAAAACCTCAGATTTAGGTCACACATGTTACTCTGGACTCTGGAGAGCAATAGCAGAACGTACTGTATTTACAGAGCAGAATATATATTGTCTTGCAAAGTAGGCCTAATGCAGAATCTGTGACAGTGACTAGAAGTGAGAAATGACAGCACACTTGTGATTGTGCAGCTGAAATGTCATTCAAATTCCCACCAATCGAGGCCGAGGCAGAGTGAACGCTGAAGATCGTGTGTCAGACTGAACTCACAGCAGAACCAGAGCTCATTCAGAGGAGCATCATACACCTACAACAATGAGGGAGATCGTCCACATTCAAGCCGGACAATGCGGCAATCAGATCGGAACAAAGGTTTGTTCAACATATTTTCTTTTCCTATCACACTATGCGTCATTTTAAAACTTTACATTTTGCATTTTCAAAAACGATTTACTTTAACTTTGATGAATGGATACATTTGGGGGGAAAATACCTGAAGCTAATGATTATAGTGATTTTCAGTAATGCCACTGCTCTAACATGCTTGCTGATTCTACAGTAAGATACACATTCTTTTTAGTGAATGAGAAACATATAGAGTGCGACCAGTTTAGTTTGATTCTCAACTAAATAACTCATCCAATCCTGTTCTTTTCAGTGAATCAAAACGTAGGCTACTGCGCGACTAGTGTGGCTTGATTCCCAATCGTTACTTTTTAGTGATTGAAAAATGCTCCCATTTCCGACTCTTAAGATCCAGATCTTCTTTGAGAATACATTTTTGTAAAAAGTCCATCCAAGTCCCATCGCTACATTTGGTTATATTTACATGTAGTTTGATCATACTTAGTGTAAGAAACGTGATCAACCCTTGAGTCACGACAGGCAACAACCCATTTTAATACAATACAATAGATTTTAAGGGCGCATCAGCTGCATACTATGGCAAGCCGTTTTTACTTTTATTCATTCTCAGGATATGAATTCTTGACATCAACAATTCAATTTTTACTAGTTAAAATGTTAATTCTATTAGAATTAGATTTCTACTAATTGCTATTTTTGATATCAGCAATTACATTGCCACCAGTGACAATGTTAATTTCTGATATCATGAATGTGATTGTTACTAGTAACAAAAGTCATTTTAGATATCAGAAATTACCCTCCCAATTGTTGATATCAGAAATATATTTTCAGATATCAGAAGAATAGACGTCTGTACTAGTAACCATGTGATTACTGATATCAAAAATAAAGGTTTTAACTAGTAAGAATTGTATTTCTGATATGTGAAATTGGAATTTCTACTAATAAGAAATTAGTTCTTGATATCAACAATTGATTTTCAATGGCATGACATTTAACTAGTGAAAATACAATTACAGATATCAAGAATTATAGATTTTACTAGTTGAAATGTAATTACTTAATTCAAGAATTAGCATTTTAACTAGTAAAAATTGAATTGTTGATATCAAAAATTCATATCCTGTGAAGGAATAAAAGTCAAAACGGCTTGCCATACCTGCACTGTAAAAACAATTCTGTAAAATGTACGGTAAAAAACGGCAGCTGTGGTTGGCAGTAAAAAATACAGTAGCAACATTTTAGGTTTTACGGTTTTAACTTAAATTTACAGTTAAATACCGTAATTTCATTAACTGATATATTGTTAATATACCAACCTATTGAAGTACTGAAATCTGTTTTGTACCTTTGTAATAATACACTTATAACCACCAAAAGCAGGAGGTGATGAGAAAGTCACATGTTGAGCCAAAGCCCATCACAAGCAGCTTTTAAATAATAACATATATAGAAGGTGCACAGCGTCATTCACACAAACACTAAACACCATCACGGTAACACACATGAAACTGAAATAATGCAATAAACATTAATTTAACAACATTATGTGTAACACACAACCCTAATATACAAAACTGATAAGAAAAGACTAAGAAGAAACATAGTTATTTCAACAAAAAACCATCAAATTTGAAATGTAACGCAGGGAATTCTGGGAATGTCAATTTACGGTTATTCACTGTAAATTATACAGTCTTTTCACTTCCAAAAACAGTATACTACCGTAAAATTAATGTCCAATACATGTAATGTCCAATACAGTTTTTCACCGTATATAGTAGGGGAATTTACAGTTAACCATTTAACAGGTTTTTACTGTAGCATTTTTACAGTCTTTTACCGTTAAATTCACAGTCATTTTTTACAGTGTGCTGTGCTGAGCGCTATAGCCTAGTATGCAGAGAATCTGAACCATCGTGCTTTATTGCACAGTTCAGTTTGGGGAAACTGTCTGAAATGACATCTAAACTAACGCAAAACCACTGTGACACATCTAGTTCTGGGAAGTCATCAGCGACGAGCACGGCATCGATGCAGCCGGCAGCTATGTGGGTGACTCAGTCCTGCAGCTTGACAGAATTAATGTATACTACAACGAGGCGTCCTGTAAGTATGATATCAGTGTGCTTGTCTCTCCTCCTCACAAACTCACAATGACCTTAAACATTTGAACGGTGTAGTCAGCTCACAGGAATTTCCTGGTGCTGCTCTGACTTCACTAGCATAATGTTTTATTAAATGATTTACATAAATGAATGAAAATGAACAGGAGTTGAATTATAAATGATAGGCTGGTTGTTTTTTTAATTTATTAATAAATATGGCATTTCTATAATACATTTTTAAGCTAGTTAATTCATGTAACATCTGTTTTAGTGATAAAGTTTCACTGAATAACTTTTACAGCACTAAAAGATTTACTGGCATAAAAAATATTTTTTTGTGTGTGTTTAGCTCACAAGTATGTTCCCAGAGCTGTGCTGGTGGACCTGGAGCCTGGAACGATGGACAGTGTTCGCTCTGGGGCATTCGGACAGCTCTTTCGACCAGACAACTTCATCTTTGGTACTGTGTCAACATGTCAAACTCTCAATTTTTCAACTAGCCTACTTATTATTCGTAGGACTGTTAGCTTCAAGCCAAAGAATGTGGCTCAAAGACGTTAAGCTGTCCGCATCAAAAGAAATTTACAAAAGTGATTTTATGTCCATAGAAAGCACATTAAATGTAAGTAAAGTGTCTACTTTTAAGGTTTCAAATCAGTTTTTGGAGGATAAAATGTTAAAATTTGGTTGAAATAATGTTACATCGTCATTCAGTGTAACACAATATTTATGTAAAAATTCAAACAACATGCTTATTCTGACTTGTACATATTAAAATATATATATAAAAAAGGGAGCATATTAAATTTTATTGTGTTTTAAATGAGTAAAAATTATTACTGACAAATGGGCAAAACCTAGGATAGTGGCACATTTTAAAAATGTAAATTATTGTTTGGGGTGAAAGTAATTAGTCTTTTAATGTCATAAATTGATTTTTGTTGTAAATATGCCTGACAAGGTTGTTACACTGAATGACATTTTAGTGGCTCTCTTCTGTAAATCAGGGAAAAATTTATGATATTTATTTTTTTGCTCAGAAAAACAAAAACAGAATTGCAATTAAATTAAACAGAAAACTTTTTACTTGTTTGGGAACAACAACAACAATTTAAAGCAGTATTACACTTATTGGTTTTATGCTTTGACCCATGTATAAAGAACACATATAATTGTTTTTGAAAGTAGTTTTCTTAGAACACTTGATTTTATTCCTCCAAACAAAAATTTGTATTAAACTAATTAAAATTATTCTACAATTCTTCAATATTAATTTGAACATAAGATAAGATTCATAAATAAAATTAATCAAATCTAATGATTTTTTCTGTTACATTTTCTCTCTCCCAGCACTAGTTTTGTAAGTGTATTTTGAAGTCAGATTCTGTAAAAATAATATTAATGGCACTACAGTAGTTCATATGTTGTTTCTTTGTGTCTATAGACATCAACATAATTTTCCACAGTGCTGCTGAATAGAAAAAACAGACAATAGTCAAGTCCTTAATATCTATATCAGTTATACATACACTCTTAAAAATAAAGGTGCTTCAAAAGGTTCTTCAAGCGATGCCGTAGAAGAACCATTTTTGGCTCCACAAAGAAGCATTCAGTCAAAGGTTCTTTAAAGAACCATCTCTTTCTTACCTTTTTATAATCTGAAGAACCTTCTTTCGCCACAAAGAACTTTTTGTGAAACAGAAAGGTTCTTCAGATGTTAAAGGTTCTTTATGGAACCATTTAGACAAAAAGGTTCTTCTATGGCATCGTGAAGCACCTTTATTTTTAAGAGTGTAGTATGAATGTAGTAATATTCAGCAATATTTTTGTTTGAAAGAACCATCACATTTGTTACTAATGTTACTGTTACTATATATTGTTACTACATTTTCAATAATAGTAAATAATTTGAACTATAAGTTACCACAACTGGCAGTATGGGAATTATGTAGCATAGTGATCAAAAATGATAATCAAATCAAATCTTATTTTTTGTTGTAGTTTTTTAGTTTCTTTAAAAATTGTATATTTGTTATGATTATGTTAAGCTGCACAAGAAACATTATTATTCATTATTACTATTGTTGAAAACAGTTTTGCTGCCTCATAATGTTTTTTTCTTCTTCTTTTTTTTTGGAAAATGTTCAATCATGAGGAACTATAAATATGTGACCCTGGAGCACAAAAGCAGTCATAAGGGTCAATTTTTCCTTAGTGTCGGCGACTATGAGTGGCGTCACCACTTCGTTACGGTTCCCCGGACAGCTGAACGCAGATCTGCGCAAGCTAGCGGTCAACATGGTGCCTTTCCCTCGCCTTCACTTCTTCATACCCGGATTCGCGCCGTTGACCGCAAGAGGAAGTCAACAGTATCGTGCGCTCACAGTTCCTGAACTCACGCAGCAGATGTTTGACGCCAAGAACATGATGGCTGCTTGCGACCCAAGGCATGGGCGATACCTCACGGTGGCCACTGTTTTCCGCGGCCCCATGTCTATGAAGGAAGTCGACGAGCAGATGTTGGCCATCCAGAACAAGAACAGCAGCTATTTCGTGGAGTGGATCCCCAACAATGTTAAAGTCGCGGTGTGCGATATCCCACCCAGGGGACTTAAGATGGCCTCCACTTTTATCGGCAACAGCACCGCCATCCAGGAGCTCTTCAAGCGCATTTCCGAGCAGTTCTCGGCCATGTTCAAACGCAAGGCCTTCCTGCATTGGTTCACTGGAGAGGGAATGGATGAGATGGAGTTCACCGAGGCCGAGAGCAATATGAATGACCTGGTGTCGGAGTATCAGCAGTACCAGGAGGCTACGGCCAACGATGGCGAGGAAGCATTTGAGGATGAAGAGGAAGAGGTGAACGAGTGAACGACAGATGCATTTTTGCGGTTTCTTTTCTGTTGGTTTTTAATCTGCGATTTTTACGTTTTGTATGTGGATGACTGAAGTCCTACTAAACAAATAATGCTTGCAATAAATGCTTTTTGAGGACCACATACATTTGTACTGTGAATATTTTTGGTTTTTATAATTATTATTAATTGTTATTATTATTTATAAATATTTGGTATTATATACAGTACACTTTGACTTGATTAATTTATTAATGGTGCTAATAATACGTATTGAACTGTTTGAATCAAATTATTAATTAAACACCACTTAAAAATGTCTTCCAAAATTTAAATATATTAATATATTATAGTGTGCTTAATTGTATGTGCACTTAGTGTACTTCAAATCTAAAAAGTATACAGTAAAAACTGCTTTTTTTAATATAGTAAAAAGCTGTACTTGCAAAAAATAAAATGTAATCTAATTGAAATAAAAGACAGTCACACTTTATTTTAAGATGCCCTTGTTACAGTGTAATTATACATTTAAGTACAGAGTAATATTAATTAACTACATGTACTCACTATGTTGTTAGGGTTACTTGCAAGTAATTATGCATAATTTATTGTTAATATAACAGTAATGTAACATGAAACAAGGAAGCCTTAAAATAAAGTAGTACCTAAAAGACCAACAAAGTGTATTAAAAGAGAGTATATTTCAACTGGGAAAGTGGGAGAGAATACACTGTTTCTTTACACACTTAAGTACACTTTTAAAAAGTTTTTCATTTGTTGACTAACATACTAAAAATATTTAATATTTTTACTATAGTGTCTTATTTGATATTACAATCAAAGTTAATATATTTTAAATGTATTAAATTGCAGCTTTATCATTACAAATGTGCAACTATGAATATATTTAAATACAAGGCATACAAGTTTAAATAAAAATGACATTAAAGTATATTTTAGTTTATCATGAATTCTTGTCAGTATATTTGGCAGTACTTAAACCATATTTCAAAGGCAATAGAATTACAAAATTACATATACAGTAAAAATATACTTAAGTCCTACTTAAGTGGGTCACAAAAAGCGCTCTAAAGTTCAGCAAATTGCGTTTAATATCAATTTAAACTATAACGCATTTTCGTTCCATTGCAATTAACATGCGATTCAGTGCCCGAAAACATTACATTCAGTTGCACTTAAGTACAGTATATTCTTCCAAATGATATTATTTCCGTAACAAATACTTTTTTTAAAAGTATGCAAAAGTATGTTTCTATCTCTTAAGGTTTGGAGCAAATAATGTTTAATATTATGTAATGTTGCGCATAAAAATAAGCTGTAACTGGGCAGTACATTTTCAAAAGGTATACTGTAATTATCACTTAATTTTGGTACATATTACTACCTAAACTGTACATATTAGTATTCACAGCATATTAGTTCCTTTTGAAAGGATACCATCCCAGCAACAGCTTTTGTACCTTTTTTTTTCTGAGAGTGTAGTCATAGAGCATTTGACTTGAGCTAAAATCCTATGGAGGATAGGTGAGGTTAGAGCTGGTCTTTCTGAATAACACATGCTTTGTTCATATCCGCTTGTGTCTCGTAACACACAGACTCTTGTTCCAGCCTCGGACGCAAATCCTGCTCACTCAACCTTCTATTATGCTTAACAGCTGCTGAGCAAGCCGTTCTACACTTAGCAGCATATAACTAACAATAGAGGAAGTCCAGTCTCGACACAACTATTTAGAGCACAGTATTAGCAAACACAAAGGGCTTACAGCTGGATATTGTACCATCAGACAAACTCTTTTCAAATCTGAATTTGAATCCTGATCTCTGGACTCTGAACGTGTACAGAATTCGAAGTTGAGAAGCCATTTGGGAAAAAAGGAATTGTTAAATAAATTAGTCCTCCATAAAACGAAAAGAAAATGAAATGAATTAAATGTAAATAAAATAAAGGAAATGGAAAAAGATTAAATAAAACGTAATAATTTATAAAGTATATAATTCTTAATTACATTTAACAACTAAAAATTTTGTAAATAGATAAATTCTGTAAATAATGCAATAAAATACTATTTTAATAATAAAATGTTTGTATATTTTGTCAGGTTGCAAATCGATTTATTTATATTTTTATCAAATAAATTCTCTTTGTATGTACATATTGTCACAGTGTGTGGAGGCAGGCAGGATGACAAAGATTCCAATAATGACTTTTAATGTAGTCACAACAAGGTAGATTCAGGAAGGTCTCTCTCACACACACACACACACTCTCTCTCTCTCTCTCTCTCTCTCTCACACACACACACACACACACACAGGTTTACATTTGTGAAAAGTGGGGACATCCCATAGGCGTAATGGTTTTTATACTGTACAGACCGTATATTCTATTGCCCTACACCAACCCTACCCCTAAACCTACCCCTCACAGGAAACTTTGTGCTATTTCAGATTTTCAGTACACTCCATTCTGTGTGATTTATAAGCGTTTTGAAAAGTGGGGACATGGGGTAATGTCCTGAAAAGTCACCTTCTCCTTGTAATACCTATATCAAATTTTGGTGATTTCTCTTTGCTAAATAATTGTATACAGCATTAAAAAGAGTTATATAATTATAAAATAAATTAAAACAATTTTCAGAAAATAAATAATTTATTGTATATATGTATTTTAATGTCAGTTTTTAAACAAATAATTGCTTCACATTTTTACAGCATATCTCTCCTAGTTCCTCAGAACTTGCTCACAAGGCTAAAGGAGTGATACAGTCTCTTAAAGGGGTCATATGATGCTGCTAAAAAGAACATTATTTTGTGTATTTGGTGTAATGAAATGTGTTTATGCGGTTTAAGGTTAAAAAAACACATTATTTTCCACATACATTTTACAAAGCTCATCGGTCTGAAAAGCGAGGTGTGCTGTGATTGGCCAGCTATCCAGTGCGTTGTGATTGGCCGAATACTTCAAGTGTGTGACGGAAATGTTACGCCCCTCACCATACTGTGATGCCCTGTCAGGCCGGAGCAACGAGACAAAAACATGAAAAGCCATTATAAACGAGGCATTTGTTGCATCCAGTGGGGACATAATTACGGATTATAATGACTTATACTGTCTTTTTACGCGTTGCGTTGCATTGCATCGCGCCGCGTAAACATAAAACTCTGTCTGCATTTGTAATCAGGGAAATGACAAACAACATATGTGGGGGCATGTTAGAACGAGCTATTTTAGGAGGGCGTGGCAGAGTCTTAACTTTTATAAAGAATATTTCTTTGGGTTTGAGACTTTAGTCTTTGCAACTTTACAGATCTTCTTTATGCACCAAGAGCTTGTAACACTCCAAAGAGAAAGGAAAACTTGAAATCGCATCATATGACCCCTTTAACAAAAAACACAAGAGGTCCATGTGTGAGATATTTTGAAATATGAAATGGTTATTCGCAGGATCCCGAAAGGCTGGACGCAGGGGTTTAGAGGTCTTCCTTTGGTATGTTTAACAGCTGTCGACTCAGCTGAGAAGAAAGTGGGTCAGAGTGTCTCGCTCACATTTCCGTAAGAACCAAAACGCTGAAACCTCCTGTCTTAGGACTGGGAGGATAGTTATGTGTGATTGGCAGTTAATTTGCTCTGTATTCCCTGTGCATGTTGGAATATCCAAACGGTTTTAGCTGCAGTATCACTAACTCACTGTCAGAGCATGTGGGAGTCTGTCACAGCATGCCCAATAAGGCTTCGAAAATGAATCTGGAATCTACTGGAGTCTCATTTGTTTAAACCAACTAGTCATCCTCAGATATATTCGATGTCAATGCTTAGAAATGGGTGCAAAGTAACAATAACTATGCAAAGTGTCTGCTTAAAATGCATGGTTAGAAAATATATATAGCTCCTGTGCCTAAACATTTATACAACATCTTGAACATGGTGCTGGGCTGGCACAGATTCATGTTTCCAAAAGAACTGCCGTCTGCAGGCTTATTTCACTTGGGGTCATATTTATGGCTCTTTTCAAATTGTTTATACAAAAGCAAACCGTATCAGTTAGATCATTCCTTATAGCAACAGCACGGCAAACAGGGCAGCAAACTAGATACACTCCAGACTCTTCTATTCATATCAGAATTACACGTATAAGAGTGTGGTTTGTTATTCAGAGAGCCATATTTTAGTGAGCATAGATCAAACTTTTGCACCCAGTTATGAGAATGTGTCTTGTCTGGATTTTTCAGCTTCATTTCATTCTGTCACCATCCTCAATTCATATTTCATAACATTGTGGGTTATTTTAAATACAAATATGTTGCAATGGATGTTACGATAAAAAAAACATTGGTTGTGAATATGGGAAATTATGAATTACTGTAACTCTCCTTCTAAAAAATACATGGATCGCCATGTAAAATATTAGGACACAACTTGAGAGCTGCTTAATCAGTCTCTGAAAAACTAGGGTTGATCTGTGTAAAGATTCATCTAAAAAATGCATCACACAACACTGACATTATCTGGACAGCACCAGAAATATGCAAAGGACGACTTGACTATGCCTATGATTTAGCTGGTCTAAAAAATAGTCTGTAACACTTTACTTAAAGCCTTTATGTGTAATGCATAATAAAAGTAGTTTTTATGCATTAAATATAATGTATTGTACAATCTCATGAATAATTGTAACCACGGTTAATACATTATAACACTTATCAATTAATTGTCACTTTGCATTTTAAATGTATTTATGAATAATTATAATGCTTAATAACACTTTATAATGCATTGCATATTTTTTAGTAAATATTTTGCAACTGTTAATTTTCCTCCACTGACCAGTTCTTTCCACATCATGTTTAAGACATAAATGACCATATGTACCATGGTACTGAGCGGTACGGTAGTGTGATTCAAACATTTTCATGGATAATATTTTCCTACTTAAAGCACTAGTGTTCAAATGTATTTCAAACCATAGATTATTTCCCTGCTGTTTAAATCAATAGAAACCCTCACAGAAAGTGTAATGCTTTTACAGTTATAAGAGGAATTGTAATAGAAACTGTAATGGTCCCCGTGTGTCTCTGCCAGTAATTTACCTTCTACTGGTGGCATGTTAAATCAACTAATTCAAAAATAGGCCAAAACAGGCCCAATGGCCCTATGCAAATATCAAAACTCAACATATGCCATGCCCATAGCTAACATAAATGTTTTACCGTCACTTATGCATTATACGCAATTTCAACTTAAAAAATCACTAGCAGTAATCACACACAGTCTGTTTTAATGAAGGAGCTCAAAGGCCCCTCCCTCACAGAACTCATAATCTAGAACGGTTTATAATTGGTAGAATGTTAAATACACTCATTTCAGTCATTGACAATTTATGCAATTTGTCAAATCTTTAAACTGCAGAAAAAAAAATACATCGGTAAAGATCGGTAAAATAATCGGTAAAAAAATCCATTCTGGATTTTTTGGAGACCATTTGGAGAGTATCCACTGAATGCAAACAGCGTATTTTGTTCTGTGTCAGCTGCGTCACGCGGATACGTTTTCTATGTTGTTTGTGCTTTGATTTGAACAAAAACAACGTATCTGTGTGGTGCGGCTGACACAGAACAACAGCTGGCAAAACCAGTCAGACTATAGAAGGAAGAAGAAAATGTCCATGTAGTTGTCTGTGTTTACTGCAATCATTTCATCAGTCACTATGGCACTGCTGCTCATCAGCTTCACTGTTTCAGCCGTAAGTTTCTACAGGGCATCTATGACCTTCATGCCTGGAAACAGATATCCAGATAGAACAATGGAGGTACGTCCAGGTTATTACGTAAGAACCAAGCTAATATCGCTTTCATTAAATGACAATTTGTATTTGCTCTATTTCTGTTATTTTACTTGAAATGAAACATAACGGAGAACTGAATCACTTATTGTTTTTAAAAACTCGCCGTTTTCAGTGAAACACAAAAGAAGTTATTTAGAAACTGTCTCAGTGAAAGTCCAATGTTGTTTTGAATGCATTCTTTATAATATCACGGATGGCTTATTTGCAATTGTGCAGAAAAACTTGTCACGTCAGTTCTGAAAGCTGACACTCAAACAGCAGAAGCACACACCAAATCTGCAAAACCATACACTAATTCTCGGCCTTTCAGTTTCATAAATCACTTTTTGCAAAACACAACACACAATCTCTATGTAACTCACAAAAATCGAACAGGAATTAATATTATGGCAAAGGTGTTTGCAAATGTTTGCTTTTTAGATGTGTTTGTGGTATTGTGAATGCAGTGCTTCGTTTCGCAAGAGATGCGAGGCATTTTATATTTTGTGTGTGCAATTCTTGAATTTGTGTGTAAAATTTTGAAAAAAAGTGTCGAAAAAAACGGAGAAAAGAAGCTTTCATGGCATCTTTCTTAATACATTTAAAGTGCACTTAGCCATGTATTTTAAAGTAAAACTTAATTTGACATTTTAAAGTACATTTTATGTTTTATACCCTAATATTTTGTCATGATTTTAAAAAGTACACTTATTTTGATGTGTCGACTATAACACACAAGCACATATGTAATAAATTGCAACTTTTTAAAATAAAAAATATGTAATTTCAAATACTATATTTAAAAACACAACAATATGATATTACATATAAACATATACTTAAGTCCTAACAAAGTCCTAACAATCACATAAATAGTCCACCACAGATAGGCTACTATTGTATACTAAAATGGAAGAGGACACCTATGTCAAATTAAAGAAATGGTTGAAAAATGTTTAGCAGTTTAAGATATCCTTTGTGATAAAAACCTAAACCATAAACTGTGCTAAAATTGTTCTGGGCTGTTACTTATGTCTATTTTATGGCTGAGAAATGGTGATCCGTTGAGCCGCATTCAAATGGTAGTTTTGGTCGCCAGGGCATCAGAGGAATAAATTACAATATTTTAAAATAGTTACATTAAATTGGAATAATGCTTTACAATATTACTCTTTTTACTGATGAAATAAATGCAGCCTTGATGGGCATTCAACGGTCATTTAACAACTTAACTATTGCATTTCCAAATGACCTCATGAGGCCTTAAGCAAGACCCTCAGGGTGAAAACAAGCAATGGAGACGATGAGAAAGCGCAGGAGATCTCAAGAGGACGTGATTTGCTGATAGCATTAATATGTTTGAAGACAGAATTGCTCACAGAGTGCACAAGGCTATCTAATTGGCAATTAAAGTAACCCGAGACACTCGTCTCCGACGCGTCGAGGTTTAAAGAAACACACATAAAACAGATGAATGATTCTCGCTCTTGGCCAGAAAGCACTTTCTTTTATGAGGCGCTCGATTAGGGATTCTGTTCACCTGCGGCTGCTCCTGCAGACTCTCACAATCGAAGGAGAAAAACGACCGCTGAGATTCCCACCGCTGCCGTTACCGGCAGAACTGCAAGCTCAGCCCTCGAGCAAATCAGATATGTGGGCATTATCACCGTGGGAGAATCCGTCCCTAATCAAATAACCAGTGATAGTGCTACACGCCGGCCTCTTGTTTTGTTTGCAGTGCTTAGAATGCAAACAGATTTCAAGTGAAGTAATCCGAGGGTCTGCGTCTGGCACAAGAGACGGATCTGGAACTGTGCGCCGTCAGGAAAGGCCCGGCTGCCTTAGAAACAGAGAAGAAGGCGACCCAAAGGAGGAAAGCACTCAAGAAGGGGGCGGGAGGCAGAGGGAAAAAAGGTGGAGTGTTGTATAAAGAGAGAGAGAGAGAGAGAGGGAATAGAGAGCTAGAGGCAGAGTGAAAACACATTGGAGCCTAGAGTGAGAGTAACTGAATGAGGCAGAGCGAGTCCGGCCTCGACTCTGAGGCATTCTTCACACTCCGGCGCTCACCTCACTCATTCACAAAACAAACGCAGGAAGGCGGAGAGGAAGCCGAGAGAGAGAGATATCTGCTCCGTGTAACAGGAGGCAGTGCAGCAGCGGAGCGCCCCGAGGAGACGTCAGGAGGAGGTTAACCGCAAACGCCGACCCCGAGCGAGAGCAGCGAGGTGCACATCCTCCACCGATGCCACAGACTCCCTCATCCTTGAGTGGAAAGCAGAGGGCTCCTGCCGAAGGGGGTCCCGACAGATGTGGCGGTCCCTGCGCGGGGCCCTCAGGTGTCTGGGGGTGAAGGTGTGCCGGAGGAGCGCTCTGCTCGTCGTCCTGCTGTGGTTGGCCTCCTGGCTCTTCCTCAACGGCCTGGTGTTTGTGCACAGGAACATGTTCTCTGACTTCTGCACTGAAGACAAGAGCAAAGAGATCCTGCAGAGGGTGGTAAGGCTAACTTTTGTCATCGCTCAAATCAGTATTTTAGCAAAAAGTCTGTACTTTATGGATATGACCAAAACGTCTGGATATCAACTTGTCAGGCTTGCCTAATTTGAAAAGAGAGCAAATTTAAAAAATGTATGTGACCGTGGAGCACAAAAGCAGTGTTAAGTCGCTGGGGGATATTTGTAGCAATAGCCAAAAATACATTGTATGGGTCAAAATTATACATTTTTCTTTTATGCCAAAAATCATTAGGATATTAAGTAAACATCATGTTCCATGAAGATATTTTGTAAATTTACTATCGTAAATATATCAAAACTTAATTTTTGATTAGTAATATGCATTGCTAAGAACTTAATTTGGACAACTTTAAAGGCGATTTTACATCATACATCAATGGAAAGCTTATTTATTCAGCTTTCAGATGACGTATAAATCTCAATTTCGAAAAATTTACCCTTATGACTGGTTTTATGCTCCAGGATGACATATATATATTTGTGTTCCATGAAGATATTTTGTAAATTTACTACCGTAAATATATCAAAACTTAATTTTTGATTAGTAATATGCATTGCTAAGAACTTAATTTGGACAACTTTAAAGGCGATTTTACATCATACATCAATGGAAAGCTTATTTATTCAGCTTTCAGATGACGTATAAATCTCAATTTCGAAAAATTTACCCTTATGACTGGTTTTATGCTCCAGGATGACATATATATATTTGCATTTGTTTAGTGTGAAATGTTGTCTAAACTTAAGGGAAGACACTACAGGTGTCTGTCAAGTAATTTTCAGTACTTGATATAATTATTAACTGAGAAAAAAAAATCTATTCTTTTTATTAGTTATTTAGTTTAACTTTATGTACTAAAATAACTAAAACTAAGACTGAAATAAAAAAAATAATAAAAACTATATACATGCATACAAAAGCAAAACTACTCGAGATGACAAACACTCAACAAAATAACTAAAACTTCAATATAACATAAAAATAATAGAATGTATAAAATATATAACAGAAAATATAAAATAAAAGCTGATTCAAAATATTAATACAAACTACGATTGTATCTCAACTGTACTAAAAAAAAACACGGGAATGAAATATAAATTCTTTGTAAAAACCTTCAGAATATTAATAAGAATGAAACCGTTTAGTTTGTCGTATGCAAAAGCTTTCGAAGGCTTTAAAGATATGTATTATAATTGAAAACTTCAGATGCAAATAGATACAATGTCATCAAATAAACACCTGAATGTGTATTTTGGATGCATTCTATTGACAATTCTTCACACTAGAAGCAAAATAAATCTCAAAACTGACCAGTGCGTGAAAAAAACACCGGTTCGCCTGTAGTATTTTGCCTTAAACTTCAGATATACTTAAGTACTTTTACAACAGATCAATAGGCTAACTTTTCCAAATATAATTCAATACAATCAGCTGTCCTGTCGCAGTTGTAGCGATACCTTAGTGGATTTTGATCAATTTTCCACCAAATGACACACAAGGCATTTGGTAGGATTACTCCGTCAAGCGTTGAATCATGGGTACCAGCAGTAACGCGCCTCCATTAAAGGCTTAAGCTTTGTTCCTCGGGGGAAACCTAAAGCTCTTTTAGAGCCACTGGATTATGTGATGTCAAGTGAGCGCTGAAAGAACATTTTGTTTGTCGCCACATTGGGAACTGCAAAATCCTGGTGGCCTTTAAACGGGGGATTGGAAGATGATTACTGGTGTCAATTAATGGGAAAGTTTTTGCACGCAAACTATCATTACTCAAACTAAACGTGTTGGCATGAGCAGATTCAGCGATTTTATTGATTTATTATTTCATTATCAGAATGCAGTTAAAATACTGAACAAATACTGTTAATTGGACAAAAAACTATATATATAATAATAATCATTAATAATATTAGCACTAAAATGTCAAATTTATTTACAGTAAAGAACATATATACACTGTAAAAAATAATTTTTCAAAGTTAAATAAAATGGATTACTGGAGTATGTTTTACTTTAAGAAAAGATTCCAGTCTTTCTACAAAATTTCATTTCAAAGTAAATCCTACATCAAACTTTCTGTTTAGTATAAATATATATATATAGATTTATACATATATAGGTCAGATATATATGTGACCCTGCAGCACAAAAGCAGTGTTGAGTCGCTGGGGGATATTTGTAGCAATAGCCAAAAATACATTATACGAGTCAAAATTATAGATTTTTCTTTTATGCCAAAAATCATTAGGATATTAAATAAAGATCATGTTCCATGAAGATATTTAGTAAATGTCCTACAGTAAATATATTAAAACTTAATTTTTGATTAGTAATATGCATTACTAAGAACTTCATTTGGACAACTTTAAAGATGATTTTCTCAATATTGTGAATTTTTTGCACCCTCAGATTCCAGATTTTCAAATAGTTGTATCTCGGCCAAATATTGTCCGATCCTAACAAACCACACATCAATGGGACGCTTATTTATTCAGATGATGTATAAATCTCAATTTTGAAAAATTGACCCTTATGACTGGTTTTGTGCTCCAGGGTCACATGTAGTTTTATACATCAAAGTTAATAAATGTATCAGACTAGTTCATTTTAAATCATGCTTTTGAAGTAACTTTGACTGATGCAATCATTTGAGCTGGCATGAAAGAGAAATTGAGTGAATTACAATTTTTTGCTCCTGTAATATCTAAGATCATTACACAAAAGTCATCTAATTCTTAATATTTGGGCAGGCTGAGATAAATATAATATTGAATTCAACAGCTGCAAGCCGATGGAATGCTGCGGTGTGCCAATATTGTGCAAATGATGACTGGGTGGAGATAGTAACTATGAGGTGTATGTCATTTTGGCAATGAGGATGAAGTGAAAATAACAGACTGGCTGCTGTAATTGTTGGGTCGTAGTCATTTTTAAATTCTCAGGGATGTTTAGCGGGAATATTTTGGCTCGGGAATCACAGTTCAAGGCTCTATAGGGAGTTACTGACAATGAGTTAATGCCACAGAATTATTTTGTTGTTTTGTTTCACTTTGTGTTCTTTTCTTTAAATAGCTGAAGAACCTGCTCTTTGCTAAAACATTTCCAACCTCTTAGTATCCGCACAGTCAAAAGGTACAATGTAAAACAACTGTAGAATGTAATTTTTTGAAAATGTAAATAAAACAATAAAATGTAAATTTTATTGGTCTATTTTTACAAGTCAAACAATGAAAAATGAAGATCCGCATACATCAAGATCTACGCACCTGAAGACATGTTTATGTTTTTTTCTCTCCCCTGGACGCATGTTTGGCGCTACTCTATTTCATCTTAGTACTTTTTACAAGAACATAATCTTTACGTTTTTTCTACCTTTCTAAATTTCCATGTTTAATTCAGTGTGAAGCTTGTCATTTCTTTCTAATTATTTGTGAAATGTACTACTTTTCAAAGTTTTTTTTTTTGCTGTATTTGTAGATTTGGACTTTTATTAATCAATAATATTCATAAATATAAGATGATAAAAAAAATTTTTTTCTTCTTTAATTTTTGGAAGTCCTCTCACATTAATTCTCAATCGTCCATTATTTTACAAGGGGGGAAAAGCTGTCAGCTGTAGGGTGCCAAAATGTTGTTTACATTCATTAATTTAGCAGATGCTTTTATCCAGAGCGGCTTACAAATGAGAATAATACAAGCTTTTGAGTTTTGATTTGTTTATGCTGTACTCTGTGTCTAATTTTCCACTGAATTATCTTATTAGCGCAGTTCAAAAGCGCAGAGATGGTTCTCATAATAATTCACATTAGATGTTTATTTGGAAATGCTGCAGAATCAATTCCAACCCTAAGTTGTCAGCTCGTTTCCTCTTATGACCACACACCTTGTTTTAAACGCTTACATAAAACGCAAATAGTCATGTTTATTTGCAACGAGTGTGACGATTGATAGGTGACTCAATAATTTAGCACTTTAATATAGACCAAAACCATTCCTGGAGGTTTTAGTTATGATTACGCAACTTACCCATCATTCATGCCTTATTACAGTTCATCTCCAAAACACAAAAGCCTATTTCTCAGTTGATGAATTGTAAAAACAGTCTGATAATCTGCCAAACAGTTAGCATTACTAAGGGCTTCAGCACTGTAATAAACAGCGGCGAGTGGTGCACCTTCAGACAATAAACTGTTTATAGTTTCTGGCAGCATGTGGCTGAGAAGCTTTGGGCAGATACTCTTTGAACTACACGAGACCTTTTTTAATCAGCGGCACCATCTGTCACCTGTGCAACCAGGCCTATGTATAATAGAATTGCTGGCATGAGTTCATGAAACGAACCTTACTGTTGTTTTAGTGGTGCTCTGCTGCAGGCTCTCGATACGGTTTCATGCTTTGTTTATACTCTAATGTGAAGGATAAGCGCAGATGGTCTTCCATGCGGTGGGCAGACATGGCCCACTGACTTGATGGACTTTCCTGCACAGATCATTGTTTGGTAGTAGGATTAATGCTTCGGATGTGTAATTTAGATAGTTTCAAGATAAGAAATCATAATGTTGGAGAGGCCAAATAGTCAAATAGCCACATATAAGTCTCTTCTGCTCACCAAGGCTGCATTTATTTGATCAGAAATACAATAAACACTGTAATATTGTGAAATACTATTACAATTTAAAATACCTGTTTTTATTTGAATATACTGTAAAATGTAATTTATTGCTGTGATGCGCAGCTGTATTTTCAGCATCATTACTTCAGTCTTCAGTGTCACATGATCTTCAGAAATCAGTATAATATGCTGATCAAGAAACATTTCTGATTATTATCAATGTTGAAAACAGCTGTGCCATTTCATATTTTGGTAAAAACCATGATGCATTATGTTCAGGATTCTTTGATGAGTTCAAAAGAGCAGCGTTTGTTAGAAATAAATCGGTCACATCGATGTAATGCATCCTTGCCGAATAAAAGTATTA